CCTTGGCCACACAGGGAGCTCCCTCCGTGGGGGGCAGGGCCTCCAGGCCGAGCGCCGAGGGCAGGGGCCCGGCGGCTCTGCTGCTCTGCCAACGGCGACCCCGCCTGGCTCGCGGCGGCAGCCCCGATGGCCGGGTGGGCCGCAGAAGTGCGGATGGCTCGCAGTGGCCTCGACCACTTCTCGACCCCCTGCTCTGCTCGTCGGGCTCGACTGGACGGGACACGCGAGAGGACACGAGAACCTTCCGAGGTCCACATTGCCATCGGATTCCTACGGTAATGTGGGCTGCAGGAGGCACGGGTCGCGAAACGCAGGACACCAGGGTACCCCAGATTTCGTAATAAAGGGAGGGGGGTCTCATTTCGGGGGGGGTCTCCTCCAGGCTATCTTGGAGGGCCTGAGGGGGTCTGGGGACGATATTTTGGAGGGATCTCCCACGGGGGAGGTCTGAAATGGCTTGTCTTGGAGGGTCCAGACCCCTCCCTTTATTACGAAAACTGGAGTACCCTTGATTTGGCAGGGCCGACCTACCAGTCAGGGCCGACTCTGCTCGTCGTGCCGCGCGGCATTCGGTCTTCTCCAGGGAAGTCGGGCCTCCAGCTCGGTGCCACGAGGGAGCGTTCTGGACACATCTCCCAGACTGGACCGTCCTTCGCTGCGATGCGCACTGACTGCGGCATCGATGTGCAGCTGGCCGAAGCTTCGCCTGCAGTGGTGCGGGCCCAGCTGCGCGAGGCTGTGCTGAAGGCCCTCGAGTGGGATTCGGGAGCCCGCCTCCCTGCGGGTCGCGCATTGGGGGGGGGCGGTATCCTCTTTCGTGGCTGCGTGGCAAGAAGACGACCACCTTCGAAAAGAGATGTGCTCCTTTTGTTGTTCTGTCATGCCGTCTGCACCAGGTCCAGAGCTGAAGGGATCGTCGTGAGCTGCGCGGCGGTGCCGAGAACACGCTGTATGGGCGCGCAGGCTTCCGCGTGGCCCTGCGCGCGCGGACGGGAGGCCTGACTTGGTGCCGGCTGAGACTCAGACGAGACAGCGGTCTGAGGAGGCAAGTGAAATTCTCACCAATGTGGGCGCTTGTGTATAGCATCCTGGCGAGCGTCTGTCTGAACCCTGGAAGAACGAGGAGGGGTGGCAGCCGAGTTTGATGAGAGTTCTGCCCCGGTGTCGAGCACCTGGAGTTCTCCAAGGACTTGAGGGAAAAATCCCTGCGAACGGGACCTACTTCCGACGCACCACTGCCGAGCTCTCCAGGGCGGGCTGGACCGCTAATTTGCTGGATCAAGGTTCCTTTGACGAGACCGTTCGCATCAGGGGTCCCGTCTGGCACCCCTATCCCCAGACCCCTCAGCGGGCCGAGTATCATACTTTTGCGGCTGCTGCCAGGCATCTGTCGGCCCCACTTCCATTTCCTCTGATTGTCAGAACGTTTGCAAGTACGGGGCCATGTCTTGGGCCAACTGGGCTGGCCACAAACGAACGACATGCGAAAAGTGGCCAGTTTCTCCGTCAAGACTTGCCCACAGTTGAGATGCAGTTAGTTAAGGCCCACCTGGAGACCTCCGAGGCTGCGGCTGCCGATGACAAATTTGAGCGTCTTGGCAACCATTTAGCTGATGCATCGGCTCAATTGGCGGCTAGGTCCCATCCCCAGCCCGGGGAGTCAGATGTTGAAGCCACTGACAAAGCGATTGCCATTTCTCGGGCGGTGGGTGTTCTAACGGCCAGGCCGTTGCCTCCGCCGTGAAGGGGGATTGAGCGCGCCGAGCCCGAGCCTGCCCCCGTGCACAGCGTGGCTGCGCCTGCGGTGCCTGACGACCAAGTCAAGCCTGGGGGCCGCGGCGCCTCAGATGCTCGGCGTCTCGCAATCATATTCTTTTTAAGGCTTTAGGGCTATGGGGCTATAAAGCTATAGGGCTAGAAGGCTATGGGGCTATAGGGCTACAGGGCTACAGGGCCATAGGGCTATAGGGCTATTTGGCTATAGGGTTATGGGGCTGCAGGGCTATAGGGCTACAGGGCTATAGGGCTACAGGGCTATAGGGCTATTGGGGCTATAGGGCTACAAGGCTGTAGGGCTATAGGGCAATATAGAGCTACCGGGCACCTGGGCAACAGGGCACCGGGGCACCCAGGCACCCGGGCACACTGGCACCCGGGCACCCGGCCACCCCTGTGCACACGAGCACCCGGGCGTGAGGCGAAAATCGGCGGCAAACCGAACCTAACCATATGAATCCGCTAGGACCCCTACAGAGGCAAGCTCTGATTGGGGAACTACTAAAACAATCCCACCAGCCCTCTGGGCGTCGGTGGTTTAGAGCGTTTCCTCTTCCACCCCTCCCTCTTCCCCTTCGGGGAGGGGTTTACCCCTCCCCCTACCCCCTCCCCACTGACCTGGACAGGAGGGGCGGGGAGCGGTCAGAGCGTCCAAAACAGCCTCGGCGAGGAGGCCAAAATCATTGATTTTAGAAGGGTTTTGGCCCCATTTTGGCCTCCTGGGGGGGCAACGCTAATTAAAGCTCAGCCCTTCTT